TAGGGTGCTACATGCATCATGCAAACATCACCAGATGAAACAAAACATAATTACAAATGCACAGAAACCTCTAGGTCACATACACGTGTGTTGACTTGAGTTTAAGCTCAGATTGTTCCTCTTGGCGAGAGCATTCTAGGAAGCCCAATCATCGTAAAGATCGCACAAGGTAACCTGACTTTTTGAATCCTTCCGCATCCCCATTTCCGTAAATTCTCGCAAATTTCATTCTGTGATGTGAAAAGGTTGAGCATCCGTGTTGAAACAATGCACTGCACAAGTTGAAGTGCAAGCGGCTTATGGCTTGGATGAAGGAGGGAGGATTGCGATCTAGGCGCTAGTATAACATTTGTACTTTTAAAATTAAATACAAGTGCATGATTTACATATCAATACCCACGGCAGAAATCTTGACCTTTGATTTCTGTACTTGTTTTTATATCTTCATTTAGAGGTTTGGCATCTAATAACTTTAGTTCTCTACCTGCTGGACTGTTCCAAGCCACAACGAAATTGAGATATTTGTGAGTTTAAGTTAAGCACTGGAATTCTGAGTTGCAAAGTTCTCGTCTCAACCTCATACCAAACACTGTGTTACAAGTTAAAGTCGATTTGATAGGGGTGAAACGAAGTAGTCAAAGATTCGAAGAACTTTCGTTTTCCGTTGAAACGAACCTTCGTCTTCGATTCGAACGAAGGTCAACAGGGGTTTAGTGCATGCATCAATGGGCCATTGCATGCATTGATCTTGTACGATTTGCTGCACCGCTGTACATTTACTAGGGGCACGGTCAGCGTGCCCACCGGAACTGAAGAAGTGACAAGTGTTAATTAAAAATTTCACGGTTCGCGTGAGATTCGGCTGGAAGCCGGGCTTTCCGCATCCGTAGATACGCCACCACCCTTCAAGGATCAAGGCGCAGACAAGTGTTAGTGATAAATAATCTTTATTATTTAACCCTTTGTGCGCTCAACGAGCGATTTCGCTCGTTTCAAATGCGCGTCACATTTTTGATCGTCGCGCTTGACTGGTTTACCGCATCGCGTCGAGACTTCACCACCGCGTAGCTGAGAAAATTTCCGTGACGTAGGTACTAAACATGACCTAGCTCGCCACTAATTTTTTTTTGATAGCATGCTTTAAAAGAGCCTTTGCGATTATGTCAAAATAATTAGAATTTGGACTTATCCAGCGATGGATGCAGACGAAGCTCTTCGCCTAATACAAGACGCAGACCAAGCAGATCACCCAGTAGAGGATATAGCTTGCTCTTCAGGCGACGAGGTAGGTGACTCGGACAACGATTTTATTTCGTCTGACGAGGAAGATCGCCTGAATAACGATCTCTTTTCCGACTTGGAGCAAATAGGATCAGATTCGACGATATCGCTATTCCTGTTCCCGTCGCTGCTCGTGGACGTGGCGCTGGACGAGGCAGAGGCCAAGCATTTGGTGTCCCCGCGCGTGGAAGAGGGCGAGGACGTGGAGCTGCGACAGGGCGAGGACATTGAGCTGCGACAGGGCGAGGACGTGGAGCTGCAAGAGGGCGAGGACGCGGAGCTGCAAGATCGCAAGGACGAGGACGTGGTATACAGTATGAAAATTGTAGTGGCTATGATGATGTTGACCAGCTGCAAACCAATACACCTGAGTTCAACATACCTGGCACTGGTTTGAACCTACCTGATAATTTTGCTCCAACATGTAAACTTGATTTCTTCAAACTATATTTCCCGGACGAAGTTGTGGATTCAATTGTCAAGTTTACAAATTTGTATGCGCACGAGCATATCGCTGAAAAAAAGTCGCACCAGACGGATGGTGTGTGGAAGGAGACCGACCGTAATGAGTTTTACGGCCTCCTTGCATTTCTCTTCTTCCAGGGATTTCATCCTCTGCCTGCGACAAGGGACTACTGGCGCGTTACGTCGTTGTACAACGGAAACTATGCACGCTGCATGATTCGAACCTACCGGAGGTATTTAGCGCTGATGTGCTTCATCAAGATTGTGGACTTCAGGGCAGAGGATATAAATGATCGACTTCGTAAGGTGCGATACCTTCACGACCATCTGCAGGCGGCCTGCAAGCGTTTGTTCATCCCTGGCAAATGCGTTAGTGTTGACGAGCGCATGGTCAAGTGCAAAGGACGCGCTCCTTTTACGCAGTATATGCCCAAAAAGCCCGTCAAATGGGACTTCAAGGTCTTCGCTGCCTGCGACGCCCAAAGCTCCATTGTTGTAAACTTTGAAGTTTACACAGGCCAGCAACCTGGAGGTGAAAATGGCCTGACTCATGCTGTTGTGATGCGGCTGGTCAGTGACGTTCGCGCCGGAAGTGTTATCTACACAGACAATTTTTACACTTCCGAAACCCTGGCCAAATCTCTTCGTGCCAAGCAAATATCGTTGGTTGGCACCGTCCGCCCGAACCGCACTGGATTTCCAGAAGTATTGCGGACCGGCATGAAAAAGTTCGAGAAACATGCAGAGCGAGGTGCAACACGCTACGTTCGCCACGGAGATCACCTGTACCAGCAATGGAAGGACAAGCGGTGTGTGTCAATGTACAGCAACATACATCAGGGCCATGAGCATGACACAGTAACAAGAAATGTCAAGATTGATGGTGCACACCAGCAAATGGAAGTGCAGAGGCCAATGTGCATCAGAGACTACAACAGCAGCATGGGTGGAGTCGACACGTTCGATCAGCTGATCGAAACGCACGGTGTGCTTCGCAAAACGAAGAAATACTGGAAAAGTCTCTTCTTGGATATGGTCGACGTGTGCGCTGTCAATGCATACCGCCTCTTTCACTTGTGGCAGATCCAGCATCCAGGGGTGATAAGTCGATGATGCAACTTGCAGCACTCGGATTTCCGCTGTTACCTCATCCGGCAGCTGTCAACGATTGATGAGCATGCACCGGCACCGAAGCGTTCGTATCGCCCAGTGGCTGTTCCGCAGGATGTCCAGGTTCCTGTTGCTCAGCTTCACATACCTGGAGTGAGGGAAAAGAAGAACTGCAGAAACTGCACAGAAGTGGGTAACAAGCAGCACCAGTGTGTAACCTACTGCACTATGTGCGATGTTCACCTCCACATCACGAGCGACCACGACTGCTACGCCGCTTACCATGCACGCCACTTCCCATGAAGGATATCTTATCTCAGTGCTGTGAGTTTCTATCTTGCCTACTGTATATTTGTACATAAAAGTATGGTTTCATTTCCTTCCTATGGTGCGCTCTGTAAATAACGCGGCTATACACTTGATTATGACAATATGTGCCTAATATGGCAATATTGGTGACCATGGCAACATTCTAACATAGTTTTTTTGGATTCAGCTGAACGATTCCATTCAGAAAAACACAACTTGTGATTACAAATTCTCAAAAACTGTGGAGTTACAGGGGATTAATGTCGGAATGGAAAATTTGGTCATTTTCTTGGAAACCAGTGGACTCACAAAGGGTTAAAGGATCTCCAAGAGGCGATTGCCTGTCGAGGAGATCTCCTGATGAAAATCAAGTAACAGTGAGGAAAACTACACGTGTTACAGTATAGGCTACATAATGAGCAATAAACACAGGGCTGGGTTGTTCAAAAATAAAACAATTCGTTTAAATGTCCAGGGATGTGTCACTGCAGTAAAATTTAAACCTTTTGACGTGCAAGCAATATTGCTGCTGAAATTTAGAAAGTGAATCTTGGTATGTCAGCCTTGGTGGAAGGCAGTTCCACAGCCTGCCGATTTTATTCATAAAGAGAGAGGAAGAGATGCGGCCATGAGATTTGATAATCAGTTTTTTTTGGTCGGCGTGCACTAGAAGAGATATTGATGCCAAAGCAGGATAGATAATCTGGGTGCCGATGAATAGACTTGAACAAAACGGTGATGGAAATGTAAGTGCGTCGGAAGTGAAGGGGTTCCAAATTATACAGCCTATTTAAATTATTCTTCGATTCATAGCGATCAAAATCAATCCTCGCAGACCGCAGCAGGTATCTGCAGATCTTTGCTTGTAAAATGTCAAGCGATTCTAGCTGGCTAGCGGTAAGTCTGAAGCACCAGACAGGGATAGCGTACTCTACTGTGGGTCGAACATATGACTTGTGGAGTAGGGCAATATGTGCATGTGATAGATGACGGCCAATGAAGCAGTACAAATCTACACGTTGGCGAAATGTTTTGAATGCAGTAGTGAAATGGTCTTGGAATCTAAGACTGGTGCTGATTTCTACGCCTAGATGGATTACGGTACTTTTAACATTGAGTGATACGTTGTGTATTTGGACAGACAAAGAGGGTGGAGGAGCATAGTTGGAGAACATGGTGGTCTTGGCCTCAGAAAAGTGAAGAACTGGTCCTGTTCCAGTCACCAGCGTGTTCTCGTTCTCTTGTGTTGCGTAGATGTACCAACTCATAGATGACCTTTTTGATTGTATTCGTCCAGAGTGTTTGGTGCTTTGCGATACTAGTAAGAGAGTAGTTTTGCAATTTCGATCTTGTTTTCCCTCAGTTATGCTGCTTGTACCAGGAATATATGTAGGACTCAGTGAACAGTCACAAACACCCATGACCAGTGACAAATTAGTTTACCAGGCACAATGCCCCATGACCAGTCACAAATCACCATACGTGTACATGTGTAAAGCACACAGTTCGTGACTGCTCGCGAGTGCTTCGTACTGCAGGATTCGTTGTGGAAACTATTATTCCCTTTGAGCGGTCACAGAATACAGTTGTGACCACTATAATTCCAAGCGAACAGTTATATGCGGAGTGTACAGTTGCGCCCACTCTTTCTCTGTGAGTAGTCACAGGCAGAATAAAGGTACTTCTGTATTACAAGAGAGATTCGAAGCTTTGTCACAACTCTGAGTTTCTCGTATAACTACGATAGTCAGGCAACTGATGACTCCTAAACGGGCAGCCTGAACGTTAGTGGGAGTAAGGTGGGAAATTCTGAGGGGTAGCATAGGCGACGCGTATCATAGCGCAAGAGTCAGGTGCAGACGTGAAGTTGCCAAGTATTCAGACTTGGGGCTATGCAGCAGCAGTTCCAGCGTGAATGACATAGGATAGAGCTGGGGACTTGAATGCCAAATGCACACATGCCCACACCATTACACACACATACACCCACACTCTCTCAATGTTCTCACATACACATACACTCATGCGTGCGTACACACGCACACACACACACACACATTCTCTAAATCTCTCTTTAATTACACACACACACATTCTCTCTCTCTCACACACATACATTCTCTTTCTGACGCATGCACACAGCTGTCATTGTGCACACAAACACTCACACACACACACACACACACACACACACACGCACACACACACACACACACACGCACACTCACACATGCGCGTGCACACTTACTCTCTCTCTCTCTCTCTCTCTCTCTCTCTCTCTCTCACACACACACACACACGCACACACATACACACTCCCTGGTCCTGGTCCTGGTCCTGGTAAACACTGCCATTACGGTCACGTGTCCCCTCGCGGGGCCGACAACATGGAAAACGACGCGCGACGGCAGAAAGTCGGCAGTCTGCCGAAAGATCAGGGACCATGTTCAATCGGCACGACGAGAGAGGCATCTCCGACAGCTATGGATTTGGAATCCACGAGTAGAGCGGCAGCATCGGCCACAGGCCCCACAGTGGGCCTTGCAGCATGAGAGAGCGAGCCGCACACGCTGCGGCGGAGGAGTCGCCTGAGCAGCAATGGTAGACACCGCCGCCTGGCACGGAGCCCGAGACGATATCGCGGGGAGCATCAGGGAGTTGGGGCACTTGTGGACCGCCAAACCTCCGGCACTGCGGAACCAGCGCTCGCAGGAAGAACATTGTCGGCTACCTCTCTGTTCTGATACAGGTTTGCGGCGCTCATCGAGGCATTTATGACAAGGCAAACCACTCCTGGAGAAGAGACGGCCACACTCGGCACAAGGTATCCGCAGGGGCTCACAAACGGGTTCGGGCGGCGGCAGAACACTGCAAGCGGCCCGCCATTCCCGTCTATCCTGGGCCTTCAACGGCACCCAACACTCAGTACAGTACAGAAGCAGAGACAACACGCATGCCCCGTACACAAGCCGCTTCGTAGCAAGTGAGAGGTTGCTGTCAGTGAAAACCGGCTGGCGCAGGGCTCCAAATGCACGTGATGCACCGGCAATGCGCGAGCTGATATCTGGGGTAGATCGGCCATTCGTGGGGAGGAGAGAGCCAAGATACCGGAAACTATCTACATACTCGACCACCTCACCCGCCACGTCCAGGGGCAGCCGGTCTGCTTCCGCGAGTAAATATCCAGCAGCCATCACCTTTGTCTTGTCCAGGTTGACTGTCAAGCCGAAAGAATACGCTACATGTATGAATTGGTCAAGGGCCCGCTGTTCACCATCATGAATGGTAGCCAGCAGAGCAGAGTCATCTGCAAATTGACACTCGCGATGGACCTTGCTCTTGTCTGTTGACTTCCGACTGAATAGTAGACTGCTCCCAGGGTTTGTTGCCACAGGAATACCAACGCCAGGAATGTCGGCAACAGCACGATGCCACTGCTGGAAAACGGCCCACATCAACCGATTGAAGAGTACTGGTGTCATGCAGCAACCCTGCCGGAGGCCGTCCCGCACCTCAAATGGTGGAGCATCAACTCCCGGGATCTTCAACTTTGCTGTCATATTGGCGTGGAAAGAGCGTATGATATTGATGAGGCGCTCAGGGACACCTGCTTTCTTGAGGATAATCCATAGGCATTGGCGGCTGACAGAGTCATACGCCTTACGGAGGTCAGCGAAGACTAGAAAGCCCTTGGACCGATGTTCGTAGAGCTTCTTTGCGACCTGCGAAAACCATATCCGTGCATGACCGACCTTTCCTAAAACCACATTGGGAGTTGGGAAGGATGGTCTCGGCCAAAGACTGCAAGCGGCGCTGAATCATGGCAGCAACGAACTTGCCAACCATCTCCAACAAAGCAATGCCCCGCCAATTATCGCATTTGGCAAGGTTGCCCTTCTTCGGGATGGGGACCAGATTGCTACACACCCACTCTTGAGGGACTGCTTCGGCCTCCCACACGGTACACACGAGGTCTAAGAGGGCACACATAAGACCGGGGCCACCGGCCTTAACCATCTCAGGTATGATGTCAGAGCCGCCAGCCGACTTCCCACTGCTCATGGTTGACACCGCACGCTAAAGCTCAGCAAGGTTCGGTGGTTCGCCAAGCTCCTCGACGATGTCCTGCTGTTCCACCTGATCGATAACACCGGAGTCGAATGTGTTGGGGATGTTGTAGACCGTGGTAAAGTGGCGCGACCATCGCTGTCCCTGCTCCGCCGGAGAAGTACAGATGTTGCCATTCTCATCTAGGATTGCCATATTTGGGATTGGTTTGAGGCCAGATCGGGCATCTTGTAAGGACCGTATTCCGGCCCATACGCGTGCGAAATCAAACCGGCCACTCTCAACCCTGCCCGCAACTGTGGCAAACCACTGGTTCTTAGCCGTGCGCACTGCCTGCCTAGTCTGTCGTTGTGCCGTGCGCAGCTTCTGGTAGTCATCGCCATTCGTTATCCAAGACCGATGGCAGGCATTACGTTCCACCAGTAGCGGCTTCAAAGTATCCCTGCTATCAGCAAACCAGTCCGGCTGTCGCACACACTCCCACACACACGCACACGCACACACACACACACACACACACACACACACACACACACACACACACACACACACACACACACACACACTTACACACACGCACGCACACACACACACACACACACACACACACGCATATATACACACACACCAATAGGCAGCGGAACTACCAGCTAGATTCACGTGACCTTGCGGGCAAAGTAACGGAGGTAGAACTTATTTTATCTCTTTTCAACCAATCCACAAGCCAAGAAGAGATGCGTAGACGGAAGAACTGTACTCTTGGTGATACTGATTGCAAACATGATTAATTCCTCCAGACCATCGAGCACCCAATTCTAAACCTTATCTAACCAAAATTGTGGTCAAAGCAGCATGCCAGTTCAAGAACATCTCGTCAGACATACATATCGATACATGTCTGGTGCACTCTCACTAACAAGCAGGCAGTGCAGGCTACATTCACACCAGCAATCACAAGAATTTGTAGAAAGTGAATATTTATATAAAATTAATAATTAGAAGGAAAATACGTAATGGACAAATGAAGGTGTGGAGGATCGCCCAAATACACTGACAAGGATACAGTAAACGGTATACAGTACTCGTATGCATGTACTTATAATACACATTATAGCAGCACAACGAGAAAGACCATGTATCATATTGTTACATGATAAATTTTACAGAGTTTTTTTGGGAGTAGGAATGAAGATGTGTTCGAAGCAGTAAACTGCGTAGCACTACGTTAAGCCAGAATATTGAAATACAGTTTCCTGTAGTCAAAACAAGACACTCACACTTCTCTGGTCTAGTTCGCCATTCTTATCGATAACATGACTTGATTTAATTCCTTACGATGGTTCTTGAGAATGGATCAATGATGTCTTGAATAGATGTCTTCCCTGAACGACTTCAACTGAGAGGCAGTTTCAGTTTCAACAAGCTGGACATTGTTTTTCTGTAGAGTCTTCCACAAGAACGAGAGAGCTACACACACGAAGGTGCTTGATGTACTCAGTACCTTCTTGGAGATGAACATATTTTCATTTCCATCTTCATTATATTTTCGTCTCTGCAACGTCGACGATGTCCACTTCTGACTCCGTAATCGTTCTTGCAAGATCGGCATGCGAAAAATTATCTGTGGAATGGAACAAACTTTCAGAACACATCCGCTGCGTTCAGTCCTCTGTCAATTTTCGCATTGCTCTAAAGGCTCATTACTCACAGCATAGATATTCTCTGACTGGAATTCCGAACTTTTCCGTTCGAGAATTTTTCCTTGAAATTAATCCTTGCTGGGTTTTTTTCATCTAAATGTCCAGCTATTAACTGCAGAGGTAATTTCTTCTCTCGTCGATTTCTTTCCTGCTTTTATACCTCAATATTTTAGGCACTTATTTCCCTACTTCCCATGCTTCATCTTACCCTCTCCTCTCCCCCATTTCCCCATTTTCCTGCTCTATTTATGTGGGAGACTTTCGTGATAAGCATCCATTTGCTTTTGGAGAGTCAATACAATAATTATAATACTTCTGAAACCTATGAAGGAAAACAGTATGCTGATCGCGTGAATGCCAACAGTTGAGTAGAGGTGCTTGCATGCTCCGTAGCCACGTAGCGGTACTTTGGCACCTCCTACACAAGACTAACTGTACCTGAGGAGACCACCAATCGGATGATGGGTGACTGATTCTGGCCGGAGACTATTCAGCATGCTGTTCGGCCATGGAGGTTCGGTGAAAGGGTGGGGGTGTCTGCGGACATCGCTGCTCAGTGACTGCTCTCTCCTTCCGTGGCTTTGTTGAACCCACATGCAGCTCCATTCTTCTTCTTCCCCGAATGTGAGATCAAGTCTGGCACCACCTCCCGGGCATACGGTGGTGTTGCAATCCTTGTTCTAGAACACCATTTTAGATCCATATGATACTGCCCGGATCTACTCCGTCCTATGTGTGAGGCTGTATAGGTCCAGCTCACGCCCAGGTCCAGCCGTACTGAACCAATTGTCGTTTGCTGTTCGTATCGACCGCCTTCAATTGGGGCTTGGACATAACTCGCTACTGCGACATGATTGGTGATTCTCTCAGGATGATTCCTGTACCGTCCTCTCACATCATCATTGCTGAAGATTTGAATGGAAAAAATATCCTCTGGTGCTCAACAGACCATACATGCCCTGCTGGCGCTGCAATACAACGAGAGTTTGGCTGCTTTGGCCTTCAACAACTGGTCGCCACAAACACGCACACCGCACCTTCAGGCAACCAGGCATGCTTGGACCTCATCTTCAGCAATCGTAGCCAACAAGTGTCGTCCATAGACACAGCCTGTGCTCTGAGTGCATCGGATCACCTACTCGTTTCATGCCAGTTTGATATCCCATGGACCCGCTTCCGTCTTGTGCTTCATCCAGGGATTGGGTGCAGTCATCTTCTGCCCGTAAGTACAATTTTAAGAGATTGACACCTACCATGTGGGCGGGTATTAATGATGATCTAGCGGCAGTTGCCTGACATACGGTTGTTTCGTCAGATGTGGACGAATCACTTGCAAATATTCAGACTGTTCTAGACCGCATCTTTACGCAACACATTAGTGTCCAGCACTCTGAGCGTTGCTCCATCAGGGATACAGTGAGATCACGCCTGTCGAAACAACTTCCGCCCTGAATTAATGCACAATTGAAAGGTGCTATCCGTCACAAGGCAGAACTTCACAGTCGGAGTAGAAAGTACCCAAGTCCTGTCAACATAAGCAACGAAATATTGTGAGGTCGCTGTCCCGTAAATGTCACCGGGAGTATAACCGGGAGTATATCCGAAAGCTGCAGATCCTGGTTTTCGAAACCAGTAATCACCCTTCATTACATCAATTCATTTGCATGCAGAGATCTTCGGGAAATAGCCCTGGGATGCCTGACCTCGCATCAAATGGAGAGTTGGCCACAGACCCTGCAGCTAAAACTGCCGCTTTGAACGAGCAATGCATCAGCGGCGTTTGTTGACGACCCACGCATACCATTGCTGTCCTACTTCCTCCGCGTCATTAAATTTGTCTCTTCGCACATCGCAATATTTGTGACTTGGCTCGTATTAGTCAGACTGTCGGAATCGCTGTTTTCTGTGTTCGAACGCCGGTGTGACCCTTCCTGTGCAATGTCTACTTGCCACTGAAGCCGTGGTGGTCTCGGACTTTGTTGGAGCTCTCTTCCGCACCAAGCAAATTCATCGCGCTCCGCACTATTCCGCCCCAGAGCGCATTTCGTTTTCTGGAGTTCGTGCCGTCCCACATCGTTCGCGTGGGCATTTGTCAAAACTGCAAGCTCGGGTATAAGAATCCTGGTATCTCTCCTGAATATGAACTGCTGAAGTTGACGATGGCAAGTGCAAAGTGGTATTAAATTCCTAAAATGCGCTACTTGTGGAGCATGTTGCTGCGAAGGTAGCAGGTCTGAAAACACCAACAAAATCAGCGACGCGTTTGCCAAGGAAAGAAGGTGCGGAACTGCTGGTAGGTCGTTACAGTGTGCTTGAAAAATGCTAGCCTGCCCTCATCGCCTGCCACCTGGAGGCATGGATCGCTTGGAAACGAGCGAAGCGGAGGGGGGGGGGGGGCACAAACTAAAGCTTGGTCTGTCGACAATGCTCTGCCTCAATTTCTAGCTGATTTCTTTGCTCTTTGAGTGGACAAAATAATTTCGAAAAATCGCTCTGGGAAGCGACAATTTTAATGACGCAGAGGAAGTAAGACCAACACCCTTGCCACCCGAATGCGTTTCTTGCTCCGATAATAACCACAGCTTGAGTGAGCAAAGCTATTGCGAAAGTTAAGCTAAACAAATCGCCTTGTATGGACGGCATCTCCAATGAAGTTGTTAAGGCTCTAGCACCATCATTATCATATCCTCTATGTCTTCTATTTAATTTGTCTTTCAGAACAGGGAAGTTGCCATTGGCATGGAAAGTGACCAAAATAACGCCAATATTTAGGCGAGACCAAAATAAAATCG